AGTGCAAAACTCACAAACAAATTCTTTAAAAATGGCCCATTATTTAGACTATCAGATACAAAACGAAATTATTGAATTAATGTGTTCTAAAGTAAAAAATATTATTTTGAATATGGTTCGCAGTTCCAATTATTCAATAATTTTAGACTGTACACCGGATACAAGTCATACAGAGCAAACAAGCCTCGTTTTGCGTTATGTCGTTCTAAATGACATTTCTAAAAAGGCTCAAATACAAGAGAGTTTCATAGCGTTCAACCCAATATCCGACTCGACAGGGGAAGGGCTATTTGATTTTGTCGTTGGACTTGAATTTAGATATTAAAGACATGAGAGGTCAAGGGTATGATAATGGAGCGAATATGCGCGAAAAACATACTGGTTTACAAAAACGCATACTCGATGCTAATCCCAGGGCATTTTTTGTGCCATGTGCTGCACACAGCTTAAATTTAGCAGTAATTGATGCTGCTAAAGATTCAAATGAAACAGGTAACTTTTTCAATATGGTACAAGAACTTTATGTATTTTTGTCTTCATCCACAAAAAGGTGGGATATTATAAAAAAGCATGTCTCGAAGTTAAATCTAAAACCCCTAAGTGATACTGGATGGTCAAGTAGGATTGATGCTATAAGGCCGCTAAAGTTTCATTTAATTCAAATTTGTGATAACCTTCTACAAATAGCAGAAAATGATACTTTTACTTTTAACATAGAAGCTAGGCATAAAGCAAGTTCTATGCTATTAAGTATCCAATCTTTTAAATTTATTTGCAGTGTAATAATTTGGTTTTGTTTTATTCCAGATTGACATTGTAAGCAAAAGGATGCAAAGTTTAACGACTGATATTAAAGTGTGCCAAAACTATTTAAAGAATCTAGTTGATAATTTTAAAAATTATAGAGATGATAATGTTTTCGAGGAAAAACTTGCTCAAGCTGGAGAACTAGCAGCCGCTCTTGAGATAGATCAAGGTTTTCCTCCATTAACGCCCATATGCACCGTTTTAAAATTTAATCCAGATTTGCAAATCTCGTTTAAATGACTAGTGATTATTTTCTATGCACCGGCTACGGATTAGATAATCTAGTTTAGTAATCTGACAACACTGGATTTTTATAAATTTCAAAAAAAACAAGAAGAAAACTTCAGATTTGAACAGGAGAAATGTATGCCAAAGAATAAGAGGCCGTTGAAGATAGAAGCCCTATTTTTATAATGTACCAAAATCGTAAACACACCGTAAAAGACATACAAGTGTTCTGTGACGCATTAAGAATTTTACGCAGGGTGAAAAAGAAAGTCAAATAAATTGAAAAAAAAAATAATTCTATAGTTGGATGACAAAACCATTATGTTGATTCTTGGTAATTTTAACATATATACATACAAACTGCTGTATTTCAAGCTTTTCTATGCAAAACGATATACCTATATAAATACTTTTCCTTCACTGTGCATGTTCAAAACTATATGGATGTGACATATTTTCAGTATTTAAAAGTGGACAAAATCACATAAATGTTATAAGTATTGCTTAGCTATTTTTACCTTTTTAAACATGTCTGGATTTGCCATCTTACTACAGAATTAAGCTGTAACGTGAGAATATAAAACATATCTTAAAAATGGCGTAGTTATATAAGTACTACATATATTCAAAGGGCGCCAAAATATTTCCGGCACGCGGGTGGCGATAACCCATGCGGAGGCCCTGATTATCATCATCAGTGTATCCAAGGCTTCCATGTCTATTATCTTTTAGAATCCAAATCAGCTGTTCCACTACCAGGTTTCACACGTGCACGTATTCAGAGAATTTGCCCAGTATCCAGAAGGGCCATTTCGCTCCTGGCTGAAATCATTTCAAGGGACTATCGAGTTAAACGTTCAAACCATTACTTATGATAAGTTAGAGTAACTAATTGGTTACTAAAATTTCAATGAATGGGTAGATAATGCACGTATATTTTTAAAACAAAATACGTAGGTAATTACGAGTAGTAATAATTTCGAATAATTCCTAATTTGATTGACACGAAAAAATCCTAGATTTAAACGCTTACGAAGAATCCGTTCAAGGATGGAAGTTTCTTCAATACACACTGGCACGTAAAAGTAAAAAAAAATGTATTGCATCATTAATCACATCACATAGGTACAAAATAACCGGGTTACACTTTCGATACATGTACCCACTACAATATTCACATTTCATTTACTTTTACTTTTTGGAATTATAATAATTATGCTCATCGCAACATCAAGTCGCATCAGACGTGGTAAAACGGAAAAAGTACATTCTAGATCGCATTTATCGGTTTCAAATACAGGAAATTAGGTGTAATTTGCAACAATGTAATGATAAAACTAATAATTATTGATGTTTTATGCGGAAATTATTTTCTTCACAAAAAAAGATGCCAGTGGAACTAAAAGTCCCTAGGCTCCTAATTATTACACTAAACTTCTCTATTTTTCATTAATAATACTTCAATGATATTTCTAATAAAACCTATGACGCAAATTAAGTTACAGGGTGAGTCACAAATTATTGACAATTGAATTTTTATGTTTACTCTAGAATAGTTTTTGCTTCGACAATAAAAATAAAAACAAAAAAAACAATATTGATGATTTCTTGTTCGATAAATGAAAAGTGAGAAGACGAATTTAATTAAAAGATTGATTGACTTACCTGGTAAGGAAGATCAGTCGGAAATAAATAAATTATACGAGGTTATTATAGTTATAGTTAATATAGTTTTACTTTATTCTTCTACCAAATTTTATTTTGTACCCTGCCCCGTATATGACTAATAAATTTAGATTTTTATCGATATCAATCTGTGTTTTAGACCATGCAGAACTTTTTATACAGAGTAACTTCTTGTCGTAAAATTAATAATAAATCGTTTTCCATATGGCACTAACTTAAGTAAATACACTGTATTGTAATGCGAGCTATTTTCGACCAGTCCAGTTATAGTTATGCTGTAATCCCTTAAGTCCCCCTTTGTCTGGTTTTACCCTTTACGGACCCCACTTGTCTGATTACCAAAAAAATTAAGAATCTAAAATAAAGATATATAATGCTTCGCATTCTGTATTATACTCTTCACAGTTTAACATACCTTCTTTCCCCATTTTCAATCAGATTTTTTTCAGAATCAATAGGCTTTATCCCCTTATAAATCTTCATATCATTTTTTGTTTCTGAGTTAGATTTTTTTTCTAAATTAGTAGATAAGGGGTATCTCCTAATTTTTATTTATTTATTCATTTTCCTTATAGAGCTTGCTTTTTACTAAACATTTCATGTTGGTATCGCTTTTGGTTTTTGATTTCTATTTTTTTATTTCAACCCCCATTTCATTCAATTTCTTTTAAAATCAATAGGCTTTGTCCCCTTATAGACCATGATTTTTGACAAAAATTTCAATTTGATATTATTGTTCGTTTTTGAGTCAGGAATTTTTTATATACTTCAACCCCCCTCAACTCCCTATTTTTATTCGAATTCAATAGGCTTTATCTCCTTATAGAACTTGATTTTTACTCAAAATTTCATGTTGATATCGCTTTTCGTTTTTGATTTATGATTTTTTTTTAATTTCAACCCCCCTTAAACTCCCCATTTTCAATCAGTTTTTTTTAAATCAATGGGCTTTTTCCCTTTATAGAGCTTAATTTTTGCTAATAATTTCAAGTTGATCATTTTTCGTTTTTGAGTGAGAATTTTTTTTATATTTTAACCCCCCCAATTTAATCGAGCGTTTTTAAGAATTGATAAGCTTCTTATAAAGCCTTATTTTTACTAAAAATTTCATGTAGATATCGCTTTTCGTTTTTGATTTAGGATTTTTTTAATTTCAACCCCATTTTAATCAGATTTTTTTAAAATCAAAATCTTTCTATAGAGCTTAATTTTTACTTAAAATTTCATATTAATATTGTGTTTCGTTTTTGATTTATGATTTTTTTTTAATTTCAACCCCTTAACCTACCCATTTTTATTAACTTTTTTTTCGAAAACAATTGGCTTTATCTCCTTATAGAGCTTGATTTTCCTAAAAATTTCATGTTGATATCTCTTTTCGTTTTTGATTTATTATTTTTTTATTTTCAACCCCTAACATTTTTAATCAGATTATTTCAAAATGAATTGGCCTTGCCCCCTTATAGAGCTTGATTTTTGCTAATAATTTTATGTTGATATCGCTTTTCCTTTTTGATTTTTTCTTTTTTTTTTAATTTCAACCCCCCTTAACCTCACCATTTTTATTAATTTTTTTTTTCAAAAACAATAGGCTTTATCTCCTTATAGAGCTTGATTTTTTTTTAAAATTTCATGTTAATATTTCTTTTCGTTTTTTATTTATATTTTTTTAATTTCAACCTCCCTTAACCCCCCATTTTTAATCAGATTTTTTTCAAAATGAATTGGGCCTTGCCCCCTTATAGAGCTTGATTTTTGCTAATAATTTCAAGTCGATATCATTTTTCGTTTTTGAGTTAGAATTTTTTTTTTTAATATTTCAACCCCACTTAACCTCCCCATTTTTATTATTATTTTTTAAAACAATAGGCTTCATCTCCTTACAGAGCTTTATTTTCCTAATTTTTTTACGGACGGAACTAAACGCATAATACTCTTCACAGACTACTACGTGAAGAGTATAAGTCAACCCCCCGAAACCCAACCTAATGTTACGACCATAGTAAGACGCCCGTGGCGAACGCTGATCAACAATCTGGAACACAGTAGAATGTTCGATGAATGATACTAAATTGCAATTTTTGGCGAAGGTGTCATATTGTAATGACGGAAAATTCGAGAGCCTTCTATGATTTTGATGTTTATTTACTTACCTTATGTATTGCGGCAGGTAATTTAAAAAAAAATTGAGTAAATAAACTATATTCCTATTATTACCCTGTATATTATTGATTCCGATATTAACGATAAATTATATTGTTTATTTCTACATTCAAGTGCCGATGGTGTCAAAACTCGCTTGTATATTTAACAGTCGCAATAGTATGCGATTAAATTTTTTTTAGGAAGTTCATAGAAAAACGGATATAAACACTCAACAAATTAGATACAGATTATTCATTATCTGTGATAGACAACGAGGACTTCTCATATCATTTTTAGTTTGGTTTGGGATCGTGATCAGTCCGATAGAGGGGACCGCGGACCGCAGCGTAGCCGAGAGACCGGACAGATCATCGAGTTCGGGGGGCCACAAGGCAAGAAGGCAGACACACCACTCACCTACCACCTCCCATTACTAACCGTGTAGAGACTGGGTACCAACAAACCATCGCACCGTATACCTGTCGAGCCGAGCCGTGTGTCGTGATGTTTAGAAATTGATTTCTCATTTCATTTCAGAAAAATTAGTATTTAGTCGCAGTGATGTCGAACCAAAAATCGCGTTTGTGCCACATACAGAAATGGGAGAACTTCGATGGGTACGGGTTCAATCTGCACGCCGAAAAGGGCAAACCAGGACAATACATCGGCAAGGTGGACGATGGATCTCCCGCTGAAGCGGCTGGCCTAAGACAAGGCGACAGAATCTTGGAAGTTAACGGCGAAAGCATCGCCAACAAAACGCATAAACAAGTCGTGGAATTGATCAAATCCCAAACGGGCGAAACTAAAATACTGGTGGTCGATCCCGATGAAGACGGCATTATCCCTACCGAAGTTAAAAATAACGAAAAGCACGAGATGTCGAAGAAGGAACAACAAGAAAACGGCCAGTTGAATCTCAGCATGACCGCTGCCGAACTCAGAGCCAAATTGGCGGCCAAAAAAAAGTTCGATCCGAAGAAAGAAGCCATGGATTTTAAGCAAAAATTCGATATCGTGCAAAAACTCTAAAAAGTGAATCTCTCGAAATGAAATAAAAAGGATACATTCTTGTGGAAGGACAGCGTGACCTTGCTTGTCTATTAGCATACAGGTGTTATATAAATAATGTGACTTGTGCATCTGAGGTTGCTGTTGCAAGCGGAACTGAGGATTTTGAAACTAATATTGTTCAAAACATAAGTTTTTAAATATGTATAATAATCAATAATTAATCGCGTAAAATAGGTAAGCTGTTTTTTAATGAATTTGAATGGAATATATGCAATAAAATTGTGTTCTTGAACAATTATTGGTTCACAGCAATCATTTCTATAATCATTAAAAAAACAGGTTGTTATTTACGGTTTTTTGCGATTTAATTCAACCAGAGTTGTATAATATTCATAATAAATATTCTAGGAATTATTACATTCATAACTGAACACCTCATCGTCAACCACATGGGTTGTTTTTAGACCAAAACCACATTTTTGAATCACAATTTATTTATAAATTACGTCTTACGCATTGCTTTTAATATTTATCGGTTCTTTGAATAAAACCATATTGCTTCAAACAAATCATTTATAATTTTTCATCAGCATAATTATTGTGATTTAAGAGCTCAATTGTATTCATATTTTTTTGAATTTTGGTGAAGTGAGTCAGAAATTTTGTTCCAATTGGGTTTTTTCTATTTTACCTAATCGCAAACTTTGATAAAAAGCTCCAAAAAGTTGAATCAATAAATCACTTTTTGTCAGTATTGAAATTGTTTAAATTTTGAATCGGAAAAACGTTATTCTTAATCAAAAATGACTATTTTGTACGAAAAATACAAGGTGTTTCGTAATGATGTTCCAATATTTTAAAACATTTAAGGGGTGTTTTTAATTAAATTTTGTAATTTGGGTTCTCTCTGTCGAAATATTTAGGTCTCAAAATAGTGAAAGAAAAAATAGTTTTATTTATTATTTTTTTTTTTTCTTGAAAATGGTTGGACTTATAGAAATTGTAATTTTGGTACACGTTATCCTTTAGTAGAACCCTATTTTGTGTCTTCTTTTAGTTCATATTTCTAAAGGGTAGAAATTAGCAACCTCCCTTTTCATTTTTTCAGAACTTTTTTCTTTAAACGCCAATTATAACAAAACAACATTAATAGGTACTACAAATAATTTAGAAACTTTTTCACTGTTGTACTTTTTTCTTACATTCAACAGTTTACGTACAAAACAAAAAAAAAGAAGACCCAAATTATAAAATGTTGTAAGAAAACCCCCTAGAACACTTAAAATATTGAAACGTTATTACGGAACACCCTGTATATTTCTTCTGATTAAGTTTCTCAATACTCAAAATCAATATATCCACGATAATTTTTTTTTACTAAGATTTTTTTTTAATAACTAGCAGAGAGCAAACATTAAGTTTAGAATCACAAATAAATCGCATGGTGCTAAATATGGACTATTAAGTGGGTGTAACAACTCAGGGAATCTACAATGCTTTGAACTTCGCACCTTATAGCTCCTACATTTGTCCTGCAAAAGCAAATGATGCAATGATTTACGCTTTATTCAGTGATCTGATATCAATAACTTTTCAAATTTCTTCATGGATTCTCTCTGTTACGTCTTAGAGAAAATCCAAAACTTTTTTGATTAATTATGTTTTTATTTTCAATTTCATACATTTTTTTAATAATGTTGAACAGTTTTTATAAATATAAAAAGTGATAAACAATAATACTATGTATCCTTAGATGTTTTCCTATATTTGCATTAATTACCACTTTAATTAATTTAAAATTAATTAAAATGAAACTGATTTGAAAGTAAAATAACCATTAGTCGAAATAATTATATTTTATCCAGAAAAATTACTTGTTCCCGGAAATATATGCTAATTTCTAAAGTTTACCTAAATTTTCAAATTTCTAATAATAGTGATCGATTTTAAAGGTAAATTTTTTTCACTAATTGGTTTGTTTATCCTAATTTTTTTAAAAGTTTGTTCACATTTTATCACATCAATATAGGGTTCCACTAATGTTGATTAAATTAAGAAGAAAAATATATGTAATATTTTAAATCGAATACCCTGTATATTTTAATGTCATTCAAAGAAGAGATTCATCTTGTTTTCAAAAATATATAGTTTGATATTTTTTACATTCTTAAAAATACAGATTAGAGTTTTCAAGTAATACTGCAATTTTCCTTAATTTAACTAATATTAGTGGAACAAACTTTAAAAAACTTTTGGGTAAACGAAATCAATTAGTGAAAACCTTATTTCTTTAGAGCAATTAATAAGCTTACATTGAAAATCAATCAGTCTTATTTGGTAAATTGTGTGAATATGCAATTCTAAAAGTTTATTAATGTAAAATTACCTGTCACGTTACATAAATTGTAATTTTATATAATAGTAACAATATTCTTAATGTATCTAAAAATAATTGAGATTCCTTCATCACAATTTGCAGGCAACTATAAATATAGAATGTGTTTAGCAGGTGTTTAGTTAGACCGTAGTCAAGTGCCATAAAAACCAATTACGCAGGTAGTTCTTGATGAGGGTCCACCCTAACTGAATAGTTTAATATATTATGTGATTTTTTGGCACTGGACTATTTTTTCCACCCTCAAAAATTGTTCTCAACTTAGTTTAGTGATTCACCAAACAACTTAAGATTTACGCAACAGTTCTTTTAATTGTCAATTAGTTTTGTCAATATATCTTGTAATAGTTTAGTAACTACTTCGATTGTTAAATTCAAGAGTCATCTAGATTGTTTCCTGTAATGTAATGAAAAAGTTTGTGTTTTACTCTTTGATGCGTTGAATAAAACTAGCAAGCACTGTTATTCATCACACGAATTTGATTTTATTTTAACGAAAGTGTTTTATTTTGAAACTTAGACTGCTAAATTTTTAGTATATATTTTTTTGAGATTTAAAATTAATTTGTTTCTTTCTAAAAAATCCATATTCTTCATTTTCATTCCGTATTAAATCATATTTTTTTTTTACTGGATTTTAGATGAAAACGAATATATTTAAAAAAAAACAGAATCTCGTATTTTTGTTATATTGTTATTTGAAAAATAAAATTTGTTTTGAAAATAATCCCGTGTTTTTATTTTTTAAAGTAGAACCATTCCAAAGTTCTTGCAAGTATTCTAAAATTGGAAGCATTTTTAAAATAGTTTCTCAACAATAATAATAATTTATTCATCCAAAAAATAAACTACAATTAAAATACAATAAATTACAATAAAACTTTTAATAAATTTGGTATGAATAAAGTACTCAATAAGTGATAAATCACTTGTTTTGTGAAGAGAATAAAAGTATTAGCGGTCGTATCCTTTGGCGAAGGGGGGCCATAAGGGTAGGTAATTAATTCTTTATTGACTAAGATGATTGTTTGGACGATGAGTAGCGAAAAAAATGTAACTTAAAAGCTTTAAATATTGGTCTGGATTAATTTTCGATTAAATAATTCGTTGCATTAAAAAACTACTTAGGTTTTATAGTTCTTAAGTGGAGAGCATGATAGATAGATAGATATTTATTGAGGTAAAATAAAAATAAATATTTTACATGTGTCAATGTTAAAAGTATAAAAAAAAATATATAGGTATAGATACAGAAAATACAGTTACAATTTAGAAAAATATAGACCAAAACAAAAAAAATATAGATATATATACACACACATAACTTATTAAAACCAAGTAAAACATACTTAAAAAAAAAAGATAAAAATTGAAAAGGTATATTCACCAAAAGGTTTACACATTACTCTTATGCACAGATGGACACATGTGATAAGAATTCGTCAATAGAATAAAAGCAGTGACTCGACAAAAATTTGCGAATTCTTACTTTAAATAAATTAAAAGATGAGTTTTTATAAGCTTAAGGTAGGGAATTGTACAGTTTAATGCTGATATATCTATACGAATGATGAAGTTTGGTTAATCTGTAATTAGGTAAAGATATATCATAATTTCCTCTGGTGCAATAAGAATGTTTAGAACTCTGTCTTATAACATTATTATTACCAATTTGTTTTTTCATGTATAAAAGACTCTCTAAAATAAAACAACATGGTAGTGGTAAAATACCCAACTGTTTAAAAATAGGTTGGCAGTGACTATTGTAGCTACTCGATGTCATGATACGTACTACTTTTTTTTGAGCAATAAATACCCTAAGTTGGTTGCTTGTATTTCCCCAAAGTATAACCCCATACGTCATAATGCTATGAAATAATGAAAAGTAGACCATTTTTAAATTTACAATGTCTAATTGAAATTTTAGCTGTCTAATTGCATAAGTAGCTTTTGCTAAACGACTTGGTAAACTTTGAATGTGATATTTAAAATCTAGTTTCGGGTCTAAATATATTCCTAAAAGTTTAACCTGTTCCTCACTTTTAGCAATGATAGAAAATGACATTTGCTGAGTTTTTGCTTCGTTTAAAGACCATTGCTACCAAACCAATTATTTGATAACTTCTGCTTCATTTAGCCTTTCTATTGTATCAGATTTATTTTTATCTGTAGCAATAATATATGTTGAATCATCAGCATAATACACCTGTATGATATTACTTAGATTAATTGACAAATCATTAAAATTAATTATAAAAAGTAAGGGTCCGAGAACAGAACTCTGTGGAACTCCATACAGTACTGAATTCTTGCCCGAAGTATGCCCATCAATTTGAACATATTGAGTTCTTTTTTGCAAATAAGAGGTAATAACCTGTAATGGTGTCCCTCTAACTCCATCTCTCTAATTTTAATAATAAAATGTCATGTTGAACCGTATCGAACGCTCTCGTAAGATCATAAAATCTGGCAGCTTCATAGAGATCACAAATTGCGTCAATTGTTGATTTGTTTGCCCTGTAACCGAATTGATTTTGTCTTAGCAACTTGTTGCTTTCAAAAAAAATCATAATTCGTTGTTTTAACACTATTTCAAAAATTGTGCTTACTATTGGTATAATTGAGATAGGTCTGTAAGCAGATGGTAGATTCATGTCCCCTTTTTTGAAAACAGGGGTAACTCGTGATACTTTTAAATGTATCTGGAAAAACTCCAGATTTCATGCACAAATTAATTAGGTTAGCAATGGGAGTGTCTAAAATATCAACAACTGATTTATGATGATATGACAACAAAATCCTCTTTAATTTCATTTTTGTATGTATGTTAGAACCAGCGACATTTGACTATACAGAGTGAAAGAATACGTCTATTTTTCTCGAAAACGGATTGTCAGAAATACACAAACTTTGGACGTGTGGGTTTAAGATATGTAGATTCCTATTTTATTTGCATTGTTGCCACATTTACCGTTATTCCGATAATAATGGACATTTTGGTTTTTTAAATGCAACATATATTATTTTATTTTTGATTCTACTCTACAATCATAGTTTAATGATGTGTCCACACTTGAGATTTTATAATTTTTTTTTATTCTATGTCTCATTGAAAAAACCAAAGTAGCCAATATTATAGAAAAAATAGCCAATTTTACAAAAGCGTATGAACAATATATAGTTATCACCATTTTTTTAAACCCCCAAATCCCAAAGTTTCTAGACTTCTCTTCCACTCTACATTCAAAATGTTTTGAAAAGTTCTTTAAAGTAATCTAATAATTTTTTTAGCCGTATAATTTTTTCTAAATATGATATTTTTTTTATTTTTTTTAATTTTGGGCCTACATATTTCCAGTTTACAATTTTTTTTTGCAAATGTGTTTTTATTTATTGAGAGAATGTTTTTAAGTTGTTGAAAGTGGTTAAAATTTGTTAAAATGTTAAATACAAATAACATATTGTTTTAATTTTTTTTTGTTTATTCAGAATTAATTTTTCATAATTACCAAAATAATATATGTGTGTACAATAAATGAGTAAGAAAAAAATATGTTGATTTACACTAAAACAAAGGAAAATTAGTAATACTATTACTATTTATTTAACAATTTTATTTTTAATTATTGATCATAAAACAAATATCTGTAGACTTTATATTTTTGGAACGGTATAGTTTGAATGAAAACTGTACCTATATGCATGAGTTTTTGACGCAAGTTTTCATGACAATTTATTAAAATAAATATTATTTTTCTTTTTTAAAGAGAGCAAATTCTTTGAATCTTATCACTGTTCCTTATTATAATTATTTACATTTCCTTATAAACTTTCGTGCCTTCACTGTATATTTTTAATCAATTGGTAGAATGTTAACGATTTTAAGTTTTATCGGAAAATATGTTAAATACAATATAAAACGTTATCTATTTACGTGGTAAGTATAGTTTTTCCCCACTCGTTTTAATATTTTAGGAAACTGTTACTAAAAACTCACCAAAAATGATAAACATTTATGCTGGTTTTTAAAATTCATAGTGCGTTGAATAAAATTATTTTAAATCATTTTTACATGCTTGCATAACACGATTTCTATTTTAAAACCTCTGTATATTTCTCTGAAATTACTAAAAAAAAATACTTCAAGTTGTACATATTCTGTTGTCTTGGAAATTTTATATTATGCAGATTTAATTAGTTTCTACCCATGTTGTTATTAAGATTTGGATCTTTTACAAACCATCTCTAACGGTTGCATTGTATTGATCTCTACAAGGTAGTTTGTTTAATGCTTCCCAGATAAAAACTTAGATTACCCTAACATTAATTGAACAAATATCCAAATCATAAATCAATAACTGTAGTCGTATTATCTGCCTCTTAAGATAAGCAAAAAAATCCCTATTAAATTGATCCAATATAAATTATATCCCCGATATGTTAACAATATAGATAAATGTCAAGTGTTGTACTATAAATATCTCTATACATTTACCACAGGTAAAACTTCATCCTGTTTTTTTTTATAGTCCTGTAGCTGAGTTATAACCTGAACTAACTCGATAACACTGTTTTGCAATAAATCTGAAGGGGCCAAATCACGAGGAAGAGGTAAAAAAGATTATAGGAAAATTTCCATTTTTTATAAAAATCCTTGTTGGCCAAATCAAATATAATTTTAATATATTAATACAACGGTGTTACAAGTTTATTTCCACAAGTTAATTCATGTTCCTATGACTAGTTTTTTTTTAATGAAATATTGTGATTTCTATACGCAAAAATTATCTAAAAACAGTTATAAAATCATAATGCTGAATTTAGGGAGGAGGCGTGGGGGGGGACGTGCGACCATTTGGAGCTTTTAACTTAGTCGTCTCCAAAACTGCGACTGATTATTTTCCAAATATTTATAAATGTTTTAAAATTTCTGTAGCAACTTCAGAAATAAGTCTATTCTTAGGCTTTAAAAAGATGATATTTTAAAACTTAACTCATAGATCTATCATGCCTTAACGGTTATCCATACCACACAATAATTTTCATTTAAAAAAATGTAGGCAAACAGTTTCGACACAAACCCTATCATCAGACCTGTAAGATGAAAAACAGTTGAGTACAAAATATTAGAAAGAGAATACTGGGCATCACAAAAATAACTAATCATTACATGATAATATGAAAGATTCCGGAACATCAATTTATTATTATTAGTAGTAGTACCCTACACACATTAAATAATTAGTGAAGTTATGTGGTATTAGATCAAATTAAATTAAGGCTGAAATTTGTTTAAAAAATTAAAAATTAGAATTAATAGATACTACGGTTTATAATTATGTAAGTTCTACAAATATTTGAAGAAGTTTTTCTAATACTACAAATGGCCAGTCGTGCAGGTATTAGACCAATTCGTATGTGAAGAACTTACATCTAAACCGTATTAAATATTCTTATATTTATTCACTTTTTTTATCATTATTTTCTTATCACTCCAAATATTTTTATGAAATTTTGTACAGACCTTTTAATAATTAAGAAGCATTTTTGACGTAAAAGATTTTTTAAATTTTTAACCAGTGACGTCCGTCCGATATTTTGTTGAAATTTAGTAGGAACCCACCACGCGTGGAAACACCTTTGTTGGGGGCAAAAATTAATTTTCTACTTTGACAAATGACGTTCACGTAGGCATGATATTGAATATTTGAATAGAAAAA